TCACTTTAGGAGTTCAAGTCTATTGTATTAAAAATCAGTCAATAACCTCCAAACAATTCAAATTCTTCAATACCTTAGGAAACTGTAACCAGTGAATGTTTAATTTCCAGATTGTAAGTGGTTTTCCAGATTGTAAGTGGATTATAAAGCATACTGGCTGGTAGAGTAGGAGTCTCCAGCCCACTGGACACATCTGGAAGGGTGTGGTGTCATTCTGAGAAATGACAGTCACCCTGCTGTGACTCGGGGTAATGGGCAGGGCGAGGCCCTTCTCTAAGGGAGGCCTCACAGTAAGTCAAGGGTGACTTGGCAAGAGTCCCACTTTGTGTTCTCAGGAACACACAGATAAGGAAGGAGAACTCTCCTCAGATTGAACAAAGCTGTAGAGAGTGAAGCTAAAATAAAAGTGGGTGTTTTCCTTTTAGGGCTAGCACTTCCAACTTCATGGCTTATCTATGTGAGATTGTGGACTGGTTTCCTATAAAATATTTGAATAGCAAGAAGGGAGTGTGACATGGTTTTTGCCCTCAGGTAGTTCACAGAAAAGTCCCATAAGCTGTGTAATACACCCTGTACCAGCAAGGGGGTGAGCAGGGCGCTTAAGGAACAAGAGGGGAGAGCACCCACCCAGCAGTGGAAGCCTTCCTGCCTGAACTCCTTCAGAGATAAGGAAATTATCTTAACAACTCAGGGCAGGCCATAGATGCTCAGATACCAATGTCTGGAAGGTCTCATCCCTTCAAGCCACACTGTCCTAAGAAGAACGGGTCCTGGTAGTGACATGCCGGAACCCGGGTCTCTTGTTGACAAAGGGGAAACCTCTAAATTTGGTACTAAATGGAATGTGGTCCTTGATTGCTGGCTCTGTGGTCTGTAGACCTGTTTATGCGGCTCATCCAAGACTGCCTAGACACATTACTGAAGGACCACTTGGAAGATTTCTTCTCTAGGGCGTCCTAAAAAGAGATACTGCGTTTCCTGTGGTCATTTAACACTGGCATCCTTCTCTGGTGGGTAGCCCTGTGTGGCTGAGTTAAATCTGTTCAGACTATTCATTTCTTCTTAGTTCTTCAAAAGATGGTGAGCAGGTAGTTGCCGTTCTCAGTTGACATTACCCTTCAGGTTTTTATTTTTCAGAATTAATAATCCTTAAATTATTTTCTCTTGAAAATATTTCCTAAGTTCTGCATACCCATCTTGAGTTGGCCTGCACAGAATCAAGTCATGTCAGTGTAATCCTCAAGTCTAGCATCTTCTCTTGTGTAGGTCACCTGTATTTATTTGTCTGCTTACACCAGGATTGGTGGTGAGACAAGTTGGGAGCCTGAGTGACCTGCCAGTGTCACAGTGAGGCCTGAGCCCTGTGTGTGTCCTGAGACTCGGGCTGTGCAGCAGGTTTCCTGAGATGTTGAGTGTCCATGTTGGGGTCAACTATGATCCCAGTGGGTCATGCCAGTTGTTTCATTTTCTCTCTGCTAAAGGTGTTTTTTTAGTTTGTTTGTTTGTTTTGAGATGGAGTTCGCTCTTGTTGCCCAGGCTGGAATGCAATAGTGCGATCTTGGCTCACTGCAACCTCCGCCTCCTGGGTTCAAGAGACTCTCCTGCCCCAGCCTCCAGAGTAGCTGGGATTACAGGCTCGTGCCACAACACCCAGCCAATTTTGTATTTTTAGTAGAGATGGGGTTTCTCCCTGTTGGTCAGGCTGGTCTCGAACACCTGACCTCAGGTAATCTGCCCGCCTCAGCCTCCCAAAGTGCTGAGATTACTGGCATGAGCCACCATGCCAGTGCCAAAAGTTTTAAAGTGGTGGGCTAGACTCCTGTGAAGGTAGATAAAAAGAAAAACTGCAGAGTTCTGCTTGCAGTTTTGAGTTTCAAAAGGCTTCAGCCTTTGTGAGGTTGGCTATTACAAGTGTCAGTGTCCTGCAGCCACAGAGCACCAGGCACATACCTGTGGTTAAACAGAACTGGAGTTGTTACCGTTCGTTGTGAGGGAGACACATACCTGGGGCCTCCGGAAGTCGGACCTCGTTCCTACTGGCTGGGAGTAGAGGGTATTTGTTGATATTTGTGGTTTATATGGTGATCTTGGATTTGTCAGTACTTAGAAAAGATAATGAGTTGCCTGGGTGTGGTGGCTCACGCCTGTAATCTCAGCACTTTGGGAGGCCGAGGCGGGTGGATCACGAGGTCAAGAGATCGAGACCATCCTGGTCAACATGGTGAAACCCCGTCTCTACTAAAAATACAAAAAATTAGCTGGGCATGGTGGTGCGTGCCTGTAATCCCAGCTACTCAGGAGGCTGAGACAGGAGAATTGCCTGAACCCAGGAGGCGGAGGTTGCGGTGAGCCGAGATCGCGCCATTGCACTCCAGCCTGGGTAACATGAGTGAAACTCCATCTCAAAAAACAAAAGATTATGAGTTGTTTTTTTTTTTTTTTTTTTTTTTTTTTTAAATAACATTTCTTTACTTTTGGTCTCATTTCAGCATGGTTACACAGGTGGCCTTGTCTGATGTCAATGTTCTGTGAGATTATTCTGTTTGATACTAACACCTCCATGGCAAAGCAGTGAGTGCCAGGCTGGTTCTCAGATGCCGGGGCTGCCTTTCTTTTTTCTAAGCTTCTTTTCTTGGCACCTCCACACTGAGATTGCATGTCCAGCCTCTTTTAGTTCTTCAGTCTTTTCTCTGCTTGTACATCCTGGTCCTTTGCCCTGTGTGTAGAATGTCTGTATTTTTATTGTTTTTGTTTGTTTGTTTGTTTTTTGAGATGGAGTCTCACTGTCACCCAGGCTGGAGTGCAGTGACACAATCTCGCCTCACTGCAACCTCTGCCTCACGGGCTCAAGTGATTCTCCTGCCTCAAGCCTCCCAAGTAGCTGGGACTACAGGTGTGCACTACCATGCCCAGCTAATTTTTGTATTTTTAGTAGAGTTGGGGTTTTGCCAGGTTGGGCCAGGCTAGTCTCGAACTGCTGACCTTAGGTGATTCGCCCACCTCAGCCTTCCAAAGTGCTCAAATTACAGGTGTGAGCCACCACGCCCAGCCAGATGTCTTGTGTTTTTTAAAATTCCAAGGTGGATAGCATTTGGAAAAGAATAAAATGCAGTAGAAACAACATTGCTATTTTTTAGTAGTGAGATCTCAGCTGTCCAGATTCCTGCCGTGTCTTACTCTATGGAAAGTGGACCCATCTGTTGTGGATGGTTTCAGCTGTGGGCAGGAGGTTGCAGGAAGAGCAGCCCTGGCTGCACTTCTCACCACTGAGAAGAGAGTGGTATATGATGCAGGAGTAACAAAGGCGTTGAAAGCACCATGTGCGTAACAGGCACTCGCAAGTCTGGGTTGGTCAGAAAGGGGAAAGTGTGCTGAGGTTGACTAGAAACATGGACTGGTGACCGGAGACAGCGAGCCTCCCAGCCAGGGTCAACCAGCATAGCCTCTGTGTGTGACGCATCAGGACAGCGGCGGGCGGGAGGAGCGGATGCTAGGAAGCGAGTACCAGAAGCACTAGATGGGGTTTCAGGAAGCTATGTTTAGCGGGGAACGAAGAAGGAACAAGGAAGGAACAGGCAGATGGCGTAGCGTGAACACGGGGTGGAAAGTGGAACTGCTCGCTCCTGTCAAGCGTGTCTCTTCTCCATCAAGAAGGAGGCTCTTAAAAAATCGAAAGGGTGCCACAAATGTGATCAGAGGCTCTTTTGAAGCTGCATTTTCATAACTGATTCTCGATGAGCCTCTCTCACGATAAAGATTTGGCACCATATCAAGTCCTTAGGAGGACAGATCTTCAAAAATAGCCCATAGATTAAACCCAGATAGCTGTGGAAACTAATATCCTCTTGGAATCATGAGTCACAAAAGCTTGAGTGAGATGAAATTAAAATAATTTTCTCATCTGCCCTTTTCTTAAAAGAGTTCCAGGGTTCCGTGTTGGAAGAGCGAATCTGTTTTTATTGGAACAAAGAAATAAATTGACAGCATTGTGATAAACACTGGAAATATCACTTCTAAAAGGTGTCCATGGCTGGGCGCAGTGGCTCCCGCTTATAATCCCAGCAATTTGGGAAGCCAAGGCAGGTAGATCATCTGAGGTCAGGAGTTTGAGACCAGCCTGGTCAACATGGTGAAACCCCATCTCTATTAAAAACGCAAAACATTAGCTGAGTGTATGCCGTGGTGCGTGCCTGTAGTTCCGGCTACCTGGGAGGCTGAGGTGGGAGAATCGCTCGAACCTGGGTGGTGGAGGTTGCAGTGAGCTGAGATTGTGCCATCGTACTCCAGCCTGGGCAACAGAGCCAGACTCCATGTCAAAAAACAAAAAAAACTTATCTTTAAGGGGTGGCTTCCCCCAGACCTGCAAAGGGGCCCTGAATTGGAGGTTTTAGTGTCAGCAACAGTGGTGATTTTGATAATGCAAGTCTGTGAATTCAAACCACACTCCCACAACTAGTTGGAAGATAGGAACATTTCTGCATAGGAGACTTGGAATGATGTGGCAGCATTAAAACTGTCAGCCCTGAGGCCTGGCTATGTTCTGGGGGAACGCTTTGTAGGGTAGACGTCATTTACAGACAGGTACCTTTTCTGTTTGCTGTGGCTTCAGCTAGGCTGTGTCCGAGAACTCGATGGAGCACTTGAAAGATGTGCCTGTGGCTCCTGCCTGCCTTCGCATTAAGGGACAGTGCTAAACCTCTCTGGCTGTGCGGGCTGTTGTAGAGTCTGGTGGGTGCTGCTGTGGGAGGAGGAGCACGTTGCACCCCTTCAGGATCTGCCTGACTCCTGTTGACCACTGTTGAACTTATGCCTGCTTTTGAGCAGGTGGCATGGAGTGTTTCGGTGGCATTTGTCATCGAAGATGTGTTAGATTATTATATGCTTTTGGATCCCTCCAGGGCGTTAAGACAAAATTCTGATAATGAATTGGTAAGAGGTATGTTGATTTTTATTTTCCTCAGTCTGTACTAAACTCAAACCAAGTTCTCATGCATTACTAGGTTGGAGAAACGTACGGTAAGGATATAACCTCCCGGGGCAAAGACAAGCCGATTGCCGTATGTAAAACTTTAGTCCACTTCAGTTTCAAGCTTTCTCTGTTCTCTCATTTCACTTCGTTTTCCTAGGATTTCTTATTAAGCCTCAAGCTCCTTGAGTGTTTTATATTTAATTCACTCAAGGTTGGGGTTTTGCTTGATGAACTAAGCTTCATTAGAGTGTGACCGGCTTGAATTAAAGCAGTTTGTGAACTGCGATCTTCCCCTCCTCCCAAGTGAAAGGAGGGGTGGGTGAGAGGGCCCCTCTCTTGGCTGGTTGGAGATGCAGATGTGGAGACTCCTCCTGGAAGCCTACCTGGCTGTGTGCCGAGCCGGAGCAGGACTAACCTTGTTGCCAGGGCCTTCTTTCTCCGCTTCGGTGTCCCGTGTGGTGGGGCTGTCTGGGCGCAGCTGTGTGGTGCTGCTGAGTTAACCCCACCGTGCTTGAGATGGTGTGCCGGGTGCCGTGGTGATTCTTGGACGAGCTTGTGCATGCGCCAGCATTCTTCAAATGCCAGTTATAAAAAGCTGTTGTGTGGGATGTTTCTTTCCCTTGCAGGTAGGAGGTAACAGCTGGATGGTTGAAAATGTGGCTTGGGAATTGTATGCATTTCGTAAAGTAACATAATTGCCTTTTTCCAGGAGAATATTTGATCAATCTAGCATTTTAGAAATTCTTAGGCATTTAAAAATTTACCTGTAGGTAAATATTTGAATTTGATTTGACACAAAATACAGAATGGAAGCCCGAAGCACTCTGCACTGTGTCCTCTGCACCCGCTCTTCATGCCTCTGCTTTAGCCACAGCTGCCCCGGGAGCGAGTTCTCCAGAGGCCCCAGCTGTGCTGACACTAGGGCAGCGTGAGGGTGGTTTTCAGCTGTGAAGGTGCCAGTTATACACTAAGCTCTCCTTCCTTGTAAAGGGAAGAACCCAGGTAGCAGATATTGGAGCCTCTACTTGGTGCCGGAAACGGTGACAGACACCTCCCAAAGGAGTTGAATTGAACCAGTGACCACCTAAAAACATTTGTACTTGACATGCCAGCGGGGAGCCTGATTTTTTTGTAGATTCTGTATTATTATTATTTTTTTAATTTTATTTTTTTGAGATGGAGTTTTGCTCTGTCGCACAGGCTGGAGTGAAATGGTGTGATCTCGGTTCACTGCAACCTCTGCCTCCCGGGTTCAAGTGATTCTCCTGCCTCAACCTCCCGAGTAGCTGGGATTACAGGTGCCTGCCACCATGCCCGGCTAATTTTTGTATTTTTAGTAGAGACGGGGTTTTGCCATCTTGGCCAGGCTGGTCTTGAACTCCTGACTTTGTGATCCACTCACCTTGGCCTCCCAAAATGCTGGGATCACAGGCATGAGCCACCATGCCCAGCAGATACTGTTTTTAAAATTAACTCTGCTTTTGGGAAACAGAGCAGATTTTACAGAAATGTTGGAATCATACCTTCATACTTGATTTTTTTCTGTTTAGAATAGGCAGAAAGGAAGCCTCCCCGGGGTCTGGTCTGATCCTCCCTATCCTCGAAGAACTTCCTGCATCATTCTCCCTTCACACTCCCCATTTTCATAAGTAACTGGTGGCTTGACATGCTGGGTTTGGTTTGGGAGCCTCTGTCAAACTGAAAGGGTGGATTGGGTGGATCAGGGAGCGTCTGACCAAGCCACCTATACCTAGTATAGTAGACACGATCTGCGCCTGACAAGTGCCCCCCAGCAACATCTAGAACACAAAGTGCATGCTTCGTTCTAAGGTCGTTGTCTAAATGTTTCCCTGTGTTTCCTTTTTGTAGGATGTGTTCTTAATTTGCTTTTCCCTTGTGAGTCCTGCATCATTTGAAAATGTCCGCGCAAAGGTAGGTGAGATGTAAAGTATGTACGTATGTAAGTTATAAAACGACCCTCTCAGAAAGAAATACTTCAAAATACCATTTACTCCTAGGAATTTTCAGTTCTTTAAACTGGATTTTAGCAGTTTGCTACTTAGGTACATACTTGGGTTGGTTTGGTTTTTGAGATGGGCGTCTTACTTTGTTGTCCAGGCTGGAGTGTCATGGTGATACCAGAGCTCGCTGTAACCTTGAACACCTGGGCTCAAACAGTTCTCCTGCCTCAGCCTCCCAAGTAGCTGGGACCAAAAATGTGTACCACCATGCCTGGGTAATCTTGAAAAAATTTTGTAGAGCTGGTTTTGTAGACCCTGGCTGGTCTCAAACTCCTGGGCTGAAGTGATCCTTCGCTTTAGCCTCCCAAAGTGCTGGGATTATAGGTGTGAGCCACCGTGCCTGGCTCATCAGCAGTTTATTTTATTTATTTATTTATTTTTGAGACAGAGTCTTTCACTGTCATCCAGGCTTGGAGTGCAATGGTGTAGCCTTGGCTCACTGCAACCTCCGCCTTCCGGTTCAAGTGATTCTCCTGCCTCAGCCTCCCAAGAAGCTGAGACCTCGGGCTAGGTAGTTTATTCTCATTTCTGAGCAGATGATGAATTTTCTCAGATGACCCGAAGAACTTGTTTTACCAAAGACAAAATGATTTGCTTTGGGAGGATCTTCTTCCCTTTGTTCCCTCTTCTCCCCACCCCCTTCCACGGTTGTAGAGCCAATTCTGTCCCATCATGATCATCATGATCTGGAAATCCTGGCTTGCTAATGGAGCACCTCAGATGCTCCTTATGGCTTGAGGGTTGGGCTGAAGGTGTGAACCGCATGAAGGCTGGTGGGGCGGCAGTGCCTGAGGGTTGGTGTCTAGTGTGCGTGCCACCTGCTGGATGTGATTTAGGTGAAGGACATCTGTAAAGGAGCGCCTCACAACCTCTGTTCCTTCTTCACATCTAGTGGTATCCTGAGGTGCGGCACCACTGTCCCAACACTCCCATCATCCTAGTGGGAACTAAACTTGATCTTAGGGATGATAAAGACACGATCGAGAAACTGAAGGAGAAGAAGCTGACTCCCATCACCTATCCACAGGGTCTAGCCATGGCTAAGGAGATTGGTATGGAATCCTGCGTTTTTCCTCTGCCTTGTACCTCTTTTAGTGACTGAGACTGGAGTCCAGTCTGGGAAAGGAGGGAGTGTCTCCTACTCGGGGCGTGGCTTACTTTTGGGAACAAGTTGGCAAGGCCCTCTGGGTCTTCATGTCAGCGTTGGAAGATGGAGGCAGGGCTGGGAGCCGGCAGAAGGTGCCCGGGACCCAGGATCTGCCTCCCGGCGGTGTTGTGATCAGAAGAGAGTGGTGTCAAGTGTATATTGTATGTGGCCGTGTTTCTTGTAGGTGCTGTAAAATACCTGGAGTGCTCGGCGCTCACACAGCGAGGCCTCAAGACAGTGTTTGACGAAGCGATCCGAGCAGTCCTCTGCCCACCTCCCGTGAAGAAGAGGAAGAGGAAATGCCTCCTGCTGTAAATGTCCGAGCCCCTTGTTCTTGGCCCTGTCCCTTGGAACCTTTGTACGCTTTGCTCAAAAAATGGTGGAGCCTTCGCACTCAATGCCAACTTTTTGTTACAGATTAATTTTTCCATAAAACCATTTTGAACCAATCAGTAATTTTAAGGTTTTGTTTGTTCTAAATGTAAGAGTTCAGACTCACATTCTATTAAAATTTAGCCCTAAAATGACAAGCCTTCTTAAAGCCTTATTTTTCAAAAGCCCCTATTCTTGCTCAGATTAAGAGTTGCCAAAATACCTTCTGAACTACACTGTATTGTTGTGCTAAGAACACCGAGCACTAAACTGTGTAAGACCTTTGTCTTTCAGAAGACCGTAGCTTCTGCAGTTAGGAGATGCAGACACTTTCTAAGTAGTTTCCAGATGCGTAAAGCAGAACAGCCTCCCAAATGAAGCGTTGCCATTTAACTCACCAATGATGTATCAGCCCATGTTCATGACCTAACATTGTACTGTAATGGAATGGGTGTAAACAGCTCAGCTCTTCGGATCAGTCTTTTTGATTTCATAGTGAGTTTTCTAAAAATTAGTTGATCAGCTTTTGCTGAAGTTTTGAACAGAACTCGTGTTTCTTCCAATGAAGTATTCCGTTTAGTTGTGGGTGTGCCGAGTGGGGTGTGTGTGATCAAAGGACAAAGATGGCATTTTGACAAAATACGAAGTGGAGAGCTACACTACATTTTATAAGGAATAAAAGTGTCACGAGTAAAAACCCTAAAAGGCTAATTCCTGTCAAATGCAGTAGATGATGAAAGAAAGGCTGGTATTATCAGGAAGTGCTTTCTTAAGCTTTTCCTTTCTCTTGCACCTGCCATCCCTCCCCAAATTGGGCATTTAATTCATCTTTAAACTGGTCGTTCCCTTAGTCGCTAACTTAGTAAGTGCTTTTCTTACAGAACCCCTTCTTACTGAGCAATATGCCTCCTTGTATTATAAAATCTTTCTGATAATGCATTAGTTTTTTTTGTAGATTAGTTAAAGTGCTTTCCATGTTACTTTATTCAGAGCTAATAAGTGCTTTCCTTAGTTTTCTAGTAACTAGGTGTAAAAATCATGTGTTGCAGCTTTATAGTTTTTAAAATATTTTAGATAATTCTTAAACTATGAACCTTCTTAACATCACTGTCTTGCCGGATTACCGACACTGTCACTTGACCAATACTGACCCTCTTGACCTCGCCCACGCGGACACACGCCTCCTGTAGTTGCTTTGCCTAATGATGTTCCTTTGGGTCTGTGAGGTTCTGTAAACTGTGCTAGTGCTGACGATGTTCTGTACAACTTAACTCACTGGCAAGAATACAACGTTGGACCTTTCAACCACTACAACATTTTTTAAATTGACAGTTGCAGAATTGTGGAGTGTTTTTACATTGATCTTTTGCTAATGCAATTAGCACTATGTTTTGCATGTATGACTTAATAAATCCTTGTATCGTATGAGACTGGTAATACTGGCGTTTTTGAGACTTGAACAAGTTCCTGGTGTATGTTGTTTGCCTTGCTTTAAAGTCCTGGGTTGTTGGAGACAGTCATTTTCAATGCGTGTCTCCACACAGGAGGGACAGAGGGAGTGCCATGTCAAGGGGAGAACTGGGTGAGCCCAGTTAATACAGCAGGCATGGAGGTGACATTCATGTTTGGACCTTTTGAACAGTGGCGAAGCTCTGATGGAGAAACCCACATCGGGGTGCGAGCACACATCCTGGCCCAGAGCTTGGAGCTTGAAGATGCAGATGTTGGGACTCCAGACTGGCGCTGGAAGAGTAGAGGTTGGTGAACCACATGCCCTCAAGGTCCTTTCCAAAGGCTGGATGGGTGGCTTACGCCTATAAGCCCAGCACTTTGGGAGGCTGAGGCAGGAGGAGCACTTGAGCCCGGGAGTTCTAGACCAGCCTGGGCAACAGAGAGATGTCTACCCCCCCCCCAAAAAAAAAAAAAAAAGAAAAAAACCTGAACTTGTACTATACTAAAGGTTCATGTTAAAATTAGTTTTCTTAGTATTCCTTTTTATTGCTTTGAAGATTGTTTTTGAGTATTTTTTTGAGATAAATAATGCAGTTTTTGGGGTTTTTTTGAGACAAAGTCTTGCTCTTGTCCCCCAGGCTGGAGGGCAGTGGTACAATCTTGGCTCAGTGCAGCCTCTGCCTCCCAGGTTCAAGCAATTCTGCCTCAGCCTCCCCAAGTAGCTGGGATTACAGGCACACACTACCACACCAATTTTTGTAATTTTAGTAGGGGGGGTGGTTTCACCATGTTGGCCAGGCTGGTCTCAAACTCCTGACCTCAGGTGATCCGCCTGCTTTGGCCTCCCAAAGTCCTGGGATTACAGGCGTAAGCCACCATGCCCGGCTGCAGTTTTTATTTTTTGAGATGGTCTGGCTCTGTCACCAAGACTGGAGTACAGTGGCGCAGCCTTAGCTTGCTGCAACCTCTGCCCTCTGTGTTCTTGCCATCCTCCCACTTCAGCTTCTGGAGTAGCTGGGACCACAGGTGCACACCACCCCCCTCCCCAGCTATTTTCTTCGTATTTTTTGTAGGGTTTCGCCATGTTGGCCAGGCTGATCTCAAACTCGAGCTCAAGCAGTCTGCCTGCCTCGACCTCCCAAAGTGCTGGGACTACAGGTGTGAGCCACCATAACTGGCAATATGCAGTTTTAAAACGTTTTGGTGGTTTTTTAAGAAAAATAGTCTTTCCCCTTCATACCCTCTCCAGAAGGAATACTTTGCTTACCTAATTTTTGGTATTTTACCTGCCCATGTCTAAATTAGGCTTTTTGTATAAGTGAAACTTCGGAGTTCAGCATTCTCATTGACATTCCCACCACGGAAGATGTGAGGCTTGCTTTCCCATTTGCAACTCTCTCTGCCCAAAACCCTGCTCATCCCTCAGTATGATGGTTTCGATGGACTCAGTTTAGTGCCGGCACGGTCTCTGCTATGTAAACTGCTCACTGGCCATGCTGCATAGCAGAAAAACTGTGTTTCCTGAATAACTTCTGGTTTCCTTTGGGATAATCAGTGCTTTGCTTACTTTGCTGTGTACTGAATTCAATTGTGAATTTTTTTTTTTTTTTGAGGCAGGGTCTTGCTCTGTCACCCAGGCTGGAGTGCGGTGGTGCCATCACAGCTCCTGGGCTCAAGTGATCCTCCTGCCTTAGCTTCCTGAGTAGCTGGGACCACAGGTGTGTGCAACCATGTCCGGCTATTTTTTAAAACTTTTAGTAGAGTCAGGGGTCTCCCTATGTTGCGTAGGCTGGTCTTGAACTCCTGGCTTCAAGCCATCCTTCCACCTCAGCCTCCCAAAGTGCTGGGATTACAGGTATGAGCCACTGTGCCCATCCTCAACTGTGAATTTTCATCTATTGTCTAAACCTTTCAAGATGTTCAGATGTGTTGTCATTTTACCAATATCCGTTTTCCTGAAGTCATCTGACCTGCACCTCTCTTAGGTGCTGGTCTTCATTTCCTTCATCCTGAATGGCTTCTCCAAGAGCTCCTTGAGAGTGTACCGGAAGTACAGTCACGTACCACATAATGACATTTCAGTCAACAATGTAGTGCATATATGGCAGTTTATGAGATTGTACCTTTTTACTGTACCTTTGCTGTGTATAGATATGCAAATAACCACTGTTAACAACTGCCCACTGTATTCAGTATAGTAACGGGCTGTGCAGGCTAGTAGCCCAGCAGTGAGCAGGCCCCACCCGAGAGACTAGGTGTGTGGTAGGCTGTACGGTCTAGGTTTGTGGAAGTCCACTCTGACGTTAACACAGTGAAATCACCCATGTATTTCTCAGAATGTATACCCATTGTTAAGTAAGGCATTGCTCTTATTTTTGAGCCCCTGCATCTTTGAAAACAACTGCTTTACCGTACTTTTGGCTGGGTCTAAAATTCTAGGTTGGTGATAACATCCCTTTTAAGCTACATTTTTGAGACAGGGTCTCACTTTGTTACCCAGGCTGGAGTGCACTGGCATGATCTCGGCTTACTGTGGCCTCGACAGCCTGGGCTGAAGCAGTCCTGCTCAGCTTCTCAAGTAGCAGGGCCTACAGGTGTGTGCTACCACACCCAGCTAATTTTGTTTGTAGATAGAGGATCTGACTATGTTGCTTAGTCTGCAGATTCTGTGTTTTTCTTTTTCAGACAGCCTCTCGCTGTGTTGAGCAGGCTTAGACTCAAACTCCTGGGCTCAAGTGATCCTCCCACTTCAGGCGTTCACGTAGCTGGGATTACGGGCTTGGTCCACTGTACCCAGCCTCCCGTCAGTTAAACATTTTTGTTTCATTTTTGGCCAGGCACAGTGGCTCACACCTGTAATCCCAGCACTTTGGGAGGCTGAGGCTGGCAGATCATTTGAGGCCAGGAGTTTGAAACCAGCCTGGCCAACACGATGAGATGCCGTCTCTACAAAAAGTACAAAAATTAGCCAGGTGTGGTGGTGCACACCTGTAATCTCAGCTTTTTGGGAGGCTGAGGCAGGAGAATTGCTTAAACCTGGGAGATGAGGTTGCAATGAGCCAAGATTGCGCCACTGCACTCCATCCAGCCTGTGCCACAAAGTGAGACTTTTTTTTTTTTTTTTTTTTTTTTTTTTTTTTTTTTTTTTTTTTTTTTTTTTTTTTTTTTTTCTGAGATGGGATGTTGCTGTGTTGCCCATTCTTGACTGGAGTTCAAGGAATTCTCCCACTTCGGCCTCCCAAAATGGGATGATTCCAAACCTGAGCCACTGAGCCTGGCCCCTTCAGATTTCTGAAGGCAGTTCTTCCATTACCTTCCTTAGCCATTTCTGTTGGGATGTATTTTTTTCTTAAATCTTGTGAGATTGTCCTTTTCTCTTCCATGCCCTAGGTTTTATTTTATCCACTGTGCTGTGCACTTGGTGGCCTCTTTCCATCTGTAAACTCGTGCCTTTAAATTTTGTCTAGAACAGCTAATCAGATGTTGGACCTCCCAGAGTGGCCTCATAACCTTTTCCTTTTCCCTATTTGTTGTCTTTGAGCTTTCGATTTTGTCTGATGCTTTTCATCTTCAGGAGCTCTTTTCCACTCTCCACTGTGAGCCACCAGGGTCAGTTCTGAGTTGCAGTGCTTTTTCGGAGTCCCAAGCCACGGCATGGGTCATCAGAAGCTTCTGCCCACATCAGCTGTTTCTTTTGGTCTCTTGTTCCTGAGTGTCAGGAGTCCTTGCTCATGCTTCAAGGTTGAAGATGGAAACAGTTTCTCAGGAGGGTTACACCATGTGGCAAGTCCATCTCCTACCTTTCTGATACTAGGTGAGTGCAGGAATTGTGTTAAGGAAACAAAGCTTGTAGCAGTTGGCCGCTCCTACAGAATTTTTTTTTTTTTTTTTTTTGG